TCTAGGCTGGACCTGATTCCATCTCGGGTTGCTTCTTGTTGTGTGAGTCTGAGGGCTTAATGGGTTTGTCATTCATCTTCCTCTGGCTGATGGGTATTGGGAACTTGATGGTGAGGCTGTGACAGAGGGACACGGGAAGCAGGGACCGGGGGCTCCAGCCGGAGGCCCTGCTCTTTAGCTTCATGCCCAGTTCCATAATTGTGCTTTCAAGGGTAATTCTAGCTGCCAATTTACACTTTTCCAGAGTTAGAACTTATTTTTAGTTTCATTTCCATGAAAAATGTGCACTTTGCTCTTGATGGAGAGAGATGTTTTGACAGTTAGTGCAGGTTTACCCAGTCAGGGCTTGTTTTAGTTGAAGAAGGTGGAAATGGAAGAGGAAAGAAAAAAAGTGAGAGAGAAAAGAAACATGTACTCCGAGAGACCTCAGTATTTCCTTTATTGCATTCATTAGCTAACAACAATAATACTCATTGGCAAGAGATTTATTTACACTAACAAGTTAATTTAATCACAGGTATTTTTAGATGGTCAGAAAACAATGGGCCATTGACAGTACAGTTTGCTTTGAATGCCTCTGAAAACTGAAAAGTCAAGAATGCCATTGGAAACAGCACACACTAATCAAGTGCCGGAGAACAAATCGGATGTGGCACTACTGTTTCTCCCATGCAAATGACCAGACAGAAAAATGTACAAATGAAAAAGTTCAGGTACTCTGTTATGCATACTTACCAGACCTTAATGCCTTTCAAACCACTTTCCCTTTAGCAGTGTATAAGGATAGAGGAACGTAATCAAGTCTTACAGTAGGACAGAACTTTATTCTCCCTGTCGCTTTCAGCTGCCCAGTCCTGTCAGTGATCTATAGCAGATGTACAAGTGGTTTCATCAAAAGCTCATTAGAAAATACAAAAGCAGTAGTTATGACATTAAATAATACTGAGGAGAGTCCACGGATGTGCGCTGAGAGCTCTCTGCTGCTACTCACAGATTGAGCCGATGTTGTTGGAAAGAGTTATCTAGCTGGGGCATCACTTCCTGGTGGTGGTGGTGGTGGTGTTTTAATTTTTGTAACAGCAATTTAGGGTATTTCTGGCCAATTGTTATTTCATGGCTGAATGAAGTTTAACAAGAAACTTGTGTGCGTGCATAAAACAGCCGAAGGAAATGATGTACACAGCTTCCAACAACATATACTCATAACCCATGGTGTTATTTTTCGTGGCAACCAAAATGCCATTGCAAGCGGATGGCTTAGGAAGTACATAGTGGTCACACGAGAGAGCCAGTAGTCAGCCACAGAAGCATCATGGCTACTGAGGATCTATCTCATTTTAGAGGTGAGAGCTGATACACGAGGAAACACAGTGCAATTTAGTCAAGAAAACTGCAGGTGGCCTGCAGTAGAAAATGCCCAAAGCTGCATACTATCTTCTGAGTTCTAACTAAAAAATGTGCAATCTTGACATCAAAGCATTAATCAAACATCTGAGGAAAATTTACCTTACTTAAAATACAATACTAAAGATCTAATAAATCAACTTTACCAAAATATATAAACATTTAGAAGCATAAGTGCATTTAGTAGGATACTTAGATTAAAAAAAATTCTCTTAAAATCTATGAGCCATTCAATGTATACGCAACACAAAAAGTGGCAAAGATGCCATGATTACAGCCCAGGGTCCTAACTAACATCATTGTAGTCCACGGAGAGTATATTTTTGTGCCACGTGCTTAAGGTATATACGTGTGTGTCAGGTGGGGGATATATTCACACACACAGCTCTGACACCTACACAAGTGGCATGCACGTAACTGAGAATTTGTGGCTTCTTCTCTTACTGTTTGCACACTGCCTTGCACATGGCTAGATCCCTAATGGTCTGGGGGTGGTTATGGGCAGGGATAGGGAAACATGGGCCTTCTTCTGCCTCCTACTCTGAGGATTGAGATCCGGATCCAGGTGCTTACAGATGAGAGTTTTAAGTAACTGACATTCCAGAAGACACTGTGCATTTGTGTGAGGAGCCTGTGTTACTCTCAGAGGCAGTTTACTGTGTAGGCTTTTTTCCATTCTGCCTAATTGGACGCTCGAGCTTCTTCAGTGTTACTTTTCAAGGTATAAATATGTGTTGTCTTTGGTGATATTGCCCCCTCCCTCCCAGTGTTTTGGATCAGGGCTAAATTTCACCGGACTTTAACTATTCAAGACAAAAGCAAACAAAACCAGCCAGTACACTGAGTCTGACTTTCAGGATTGAACAATGAGACAGACTTCCTGTAATGTTGTCTTGAGACGCCCCCGTCCCTTTGTCCTTTCACAATGAGAACAGATTTGGAAGAAAGCATAGATGCTTTACGTTTGACCTCACCTCCACAAGCTCTGCTTTAGAACTAGGCACACGTGGAATCCTGACTCAAAGAAATTAAGAAAATGTGCAAACCAGGCCCATCCTTTCCTAATTACCTTTTCACCCGGCAACTCTAGGGTCTTAGCACTGAAGCAAGTGGCATGGACCCTCCTAACGCCTGTCCCCAAAAGTGGGATGTTCCTGAGCACCGGCTCTGTGGGAAGAGGCTTTAGTTACTCAAATGGAATTTGATAATTCTTAACTATCCCAATCTATGAAAGGGCAATACACATCCAATTCTTTTAGAATCACTGGCCCTCCATCCTCCAGAATCAACTTAAATACCCTTGTTAAATGTTGATGGTCAAGTTCATGAAGCAACAATTCTCTGTTAAATTGTATAAACCCTGAACACTACAGCATTAAAGAAAGAATTGTGCAGGATGTTGGAAACTCAATTATTATCATGCACCACAGTCAATAAAGGAGCTAACAAGAAATCAAAATGCTCACAAGGTCTGAGGTCCTTCACTTTGTTTCTACACTGGATGAACCGGTGTATCTTTTATCCTTTGCCAAACAGTGCAATCAAGAGCCTTTTACGATTTTACTAGTTTTAAGTAGCAACGTTAAAAGAATTCATTTTGGTCTAGGATTACAATAATTTAACTTAAAAATCAAAATGACTGAACTATAAACTAAAGGATGTATGGAGTGTTAATTTGATTTGTAACTGTCAGACAAACGTTGATCCAAGCAGGGAGTAGTAATAAAGTTACAGTAAGAACACTGTATTTAAGAAATGCAATATAAGGTCATAAATTACAGGCAGAGGCAGACTTACAGACATTTCCAATATATACATTCATATTCAACTATCATCAAACTGTAAACACAACTTAAAATGATCACCCTTCTGTTTTCACTCTGGAAAATGAACACAGAGAAGTTTCCAGTGCAAACCAGTTTTTTATCCCAAAGAAAAGAAAAATGGCAACAATTTACAATAGCAAGTATTAGTATTGCCAGATTTTTGCTTAGTCTTCTGGCATTAGCAAGGATTTACTGAATGTGTAGTTTAGTAATGTGTCTCTTGCTTTCTCAAAATATGAGTAAGTTGCAAAGTGTCAGGCATATGAAGATATAAACAGGCACCCAGTACCCTACTCCACGAGAGAATCGTGAAGCACGTCTGGTTTGTACAGAGCACAATGCGACTCCCATATCATGTTTCAGACTGAAGTGGATCTGTAACGGAAGGACCAAAACTTAACAGAAGTACTCTGGGCCAGAAAAGGAAGCAGGCTCTGGGAGAAAGAACAGGATAAAGTTTCTAGTTCAGATAATCTCAGAATTCATGTTACAAAAATAGTAATAACAATAAAAATGAAAAGTCACAATGTTAAAATACAAAGAGAGGCCACACAGGCAGCCAACCTGTACCCTAGCAGATTCCTGTCATAACTCCGGAGCCTGATGCAGGCTCTGCGTACCTGCGCATCCAGAGGAGATATGCACAGGCCTGTTAGACTTGGTGGGGTAAAGGAAGTAAATACCCTGAAGTCCAAGGATACACCTGGCCTCCAGCTCTACTTTGAAATCTGTCTATCATAAAGTTTTTTAGAGTTAATGCAGTAATGAGAGATACATAAGCAAAACGAAAAGCAAAACTAAAGGCAAGCAAACAAATAAAAATGTCTCAAGAACAGTTTCTGTCCTCCTCCTCCTCCAGTCTCCTGCATTCAACTCAGGTTGGTGAAATACTGAAATCCTTAATACTGGACTTAAGTAATATCAGCTCTTACACTGTGAAAAATCTGTCCCATGTACTGTTTTAAACAAATCTGGAACTTTCTAGAATACGGAAGAAAATGGCTTAGAAAGTCATTCAAAATGTCTCTAAAATGTAAATGATGGGTGTTCTTCACAGGAAAGAATTATGTGTGCTTAAAAATAAGAAAAACAAAAGTTCTCTGGTTGACTGTTACTCAAATCTTAATCTCTAACAGTATCTGTAGGTTTAAATCCTTACAAGTACATTTGTTAAAACACTAGCTGAGCCCGCTTGGGAAATTTTGAGTAGAAAATATGTGACAAGTTCACAATTGTGTCACAGGCAGGCTGAAGGCCAGCCAGAATGTCCCAGGAGGGGAAACCTGAAGATGTTGGTTTCCTTAAAAATCAATTTCTTGTTCAATGTGTTGCGGGGGAAGGAGCCGTGCCGTGTTTGTCAGTGCTGCTCAAACACTGGGCTTGCAGCACTGGCAAACAAAGCAGCAGATCCCAACATCCATGGTTGCACTACACTCTGACATTTCTTTCTTCTTTGTTCAACAATACCTGGAGGAAAATGTTATCCTCCAAGCCCCGAAGTACACCCACATCTGTGTGGTTAAGGCTTTTCACTTCTAGACGTAATAAATAGCTACTATTTCCCCTTGTTCTGATTCCCAGCAAGCATGATCGCACACTTGCTTACTCTTTCCCTCAGCTGGCAATCATGTACTGGGCACACACAGCCCCACAACGGAACCGACTTGCTTTATAGTCAGAATCAGGGGGGCGCTCCCCCAGCTCAAGGCAGGAATCATCTTCACAGCAACAGTCACAAGCTACTACCTCAGTTTCTGGGGCTCTCACTGAGAATTCTGGGTACTCCACTCACAGCACCAGAAGGAGTCCTGCTCTCATTTGCTGGGCCAGGCTGGTCCTCCAAGTGGCACCACACACTTATCACAACATGGGATGTTGGTAAGTAGAAGATAAAAATGATACTTGTGGTTTGTCAATAAACCAAAGGTGGTGGTGAGGGGTTATTTTAGGATAAAATCAAGAGTGCATTCAACACAGTTCCTTAACCGCCTACAGTGATGTTATCTCCATCAGTTTCTTCCTCATCCTCTGCAGGAGAGTGGGGTAGGAAGGGGAGGGACTTCTCTCAAGCTTCCCCACCTACTGGAGGAGGTGAGGCCTTAACTGCTCACGGTTGCTCGGTTGTGGAAGTCATCTTCTCCGACTTTTTAGACTTCCTCTGCATTTCCTTCCTCCTCAGCTTTTCTCTTTGTTTTTCCATTTTCTCCTGGGCCTTTCGAGCCTTCTCCAGAGACATCTTCATTTCCTTCAGTTTTTTTTTAACGAGTGCCCGGTCCTGGGATGATGTCATTCCAAGAGCCTACGGAGGAAACACATGTACAAAAGGAATCTGAAAAACTGCTGACCTCTTTGTTTATGATGAGGAAAACATCACACTATGTTTAATCTCATGACCTTAGTTAAACGTAGAAGGAGGAGGTCAAGGCTGAGGAAACACAGACCACATGTGCTAAATCCTGTATGCACTGAGGATCTGTGCTTTGTTCTCTGAAGTTCTTTGCAAAATACACTCCAGAAATCATTAATAAGAAAATGCTTCCAAACTGGTGACTAAGGAGGGAATAAACAGAAAAGGCATGTCCTGCTTCTCCAACCTTCAGTTAAAGTATTGCTAAACTCATCGATATCTTCAAAGGGTAACTGAGATCACCTGCTGCTACAGAAGGCTCGAAGAGGGTTGGAGAGAAAGAAAATGGCCTCCTTTCTGCCAATGTAGTTATTTACAATGAGAACCAACCATGTGTTTGGGGCCAGGATGCCCAAGAATCTCTCCGCCATCGTCTCCCCCAAGGCAGACCTATAAAGAAAGCCCGATTACAATGACTAGGTGGCTGGATGAGCTTGTAATTCAGAATCACAGAGACTGTTGTGTACTTTAAATGTTCGATGACCTTCAGCATCAACAGCAGGACGCATCCATCTCCCTAACAGGGACACTTGTCAATGGGCCCTTCATATTCACAGCTATTGATTGATCTCTAACCTTTTCAAAGACTGTCAAGAGATACTCATCTATCCATCAGCCTAGCAGTGGGGAGGGGTGTGTAGAGCTGGCTGTACCCTCCTCTTGCCCTTTCTCAGTAGAGTTGGGTACCACCTCAGTCTCTAAGAGAGACGGGCCAGATGTGTGGAAATGAGGGTGCAGGGGAGGTGACAGGGAGGATGGTTTGCATGTACTGTGGAAGAAAGTCGGGGACGTTGTTTCAGTTTTCAAGTAGTGGGCAGGAGGGGGTGGAGCATGGAGGAGAAATGAAGATTCATACTGGCCATTATTAAAACTTAACAGTACAATGGACAGTGAGTTGTTTTGATACAGGTGTCATGTATTGCCTGTTGAAGAAAAGGAAAAGGCCCCCAACTCCCTTAGTAGCCTATCTCAAGTATAAACCTGTGGGCTTCTTGAAGTTTTTTTTTCCTACTGAAAATAATTCAATATCTTTTCTAATAAGTACTGATGAAAACGACCACATGGATATGCAGGACACTCTCAGCTGATGAAATCATGTCAGGTGCTACAAGTAATACACATACCTAGTAACTAACACAGATGAAGAATCCTTTACCTTCAGTTTATTTCCATCCAGCTGCAGGAGCTGCTCTCCACTGATGTTCTGGGCACTGAATTCAGACACATACTGGTCCAGATTGAGGCTCATCAACCAGTGTGAAACCTGCTGCACACTCCATTCATGAACGGCCCGATTCTGACTCGGAGTATGTTTGGGAGACTGTCCATCATCAAGGATCTGAGACAGGAATGTATGCAGCGTTGTTAAGTGACTCAAACACTAGGCTCACACTATCCCAGGAATTTCTAATGTTACAAGAGCTGTATCTGCTTGTAAATCATCGAATGATAATAGTTCTACTTGTGTTAGAAGAAACATGTCTACTACTTATCTGATTCTGGTGGATGGAAAATTAAAAATATCCTATAAACAAAGTACCATTAAAAATGTAGGAAGTTAAAAATTGAAAAAGCACACACCAACATTGATGATTTTATAAAAAATAACCCTGGAGATATTATCAGATGTGGAAAACAATTATTTCATAGTTCTCCACATGTAATACATCGCTTTTATTTATCCTTTTAGAAAATGGTAAAGTTATATAAAAACACATTAAAAATATCAAGGTCTCCTTTTTTCTATAGGAAAGTCTCAAAGCCCTCAAGACTCCTTAGGGAAATTTCCCAGCTACTGTTTTCTTTGAGCAGGAAACAAACCTATGTGGAAGGTAGGGAACTGACACCCACAATTCCTTTAAGATATGAAGGAATTGAGGATCAGAATGTTCACATGATCTCTCTTAGACAACACAATATAAGCAGTAAGAGCTTAACAAGATGCAAATTCCAGGCTCTGTTCACTGTAGCCCATTCTCTTGATTTGCATAAAGAGGCACAACAGCTCCCAGAGCCACTGAGTTGAGAGAAGATGAGATGATGGCAGGTCTCAGAGAAAAGAGATTATTTGTTGAGCCATATAAAGAACAAAGAGTGTGAACTGAGGAAAGGCAGAGGATAGGAAAAAGAATGGACCATGTCAGGTAATGGCTATTGGAGGCGAGTGAGGGACTCTAGAGGTGGGGCTTAGAGACTCTGGAGGTGGGACTTAGAGACTCTGGAGGTGGGACTTAGAGACTCTGGAGGTGGGGCTTAGAGACTCTGGAGGTGGGGCTTAGAGACTCTGGAGGTGGGGCTTAGAGACTCTGGAGGTGGGGCTTAGAGACTCTGGAGG